TAGATCGACCGGTAAATCGAGAGCTTTGCTTTTTGGCTCAGCTCTCTCTTCACCACAACAGACCGGTACAGTGCATGCTTCACAGCAGACGCCGCACCAATCCGGCTATCGATCTCCCGCTCCATCTTCCCCTCATTCATGAACAAGATACTAAACTCCTCCACTAGGGGCAGTACATTCCCCAACCCGGAGAAGGCACTCTACCCTTTTCCCTCTCAGGACCACGGTCTCGGATTATTTGTTTTTATCAATTTTATTTTAATTATATTTATTCATTTTAATTGATTTTTTTTTAACTGTTGGTTTTATATCCTTTTTTATTTCTATGGTATGTATTGTACAGCACTTTGAGGCAGCTGTGGTGATTTTTTGGGGCTTTATAAATAAAGTTGAGCTGAGCTCGGTAGCATAAAAATGCAGTTCCACCTTGTTTTAAGCCTGGTTCTGGGAACATGTTTCTAATAAACTCTGGGTTTTTCCTATTTCATATATGACCAGCAACTTTGATATTTAGACCAAAACCTTTCAATGCATGTAGGAAAGATTTACCTCATTTTCTATATCAAAGAGAGCAATGCAGCAATTTTCTTGATGTTGGGCAGAACTCCAGACAAAGCATCTTTGAGGAGATGGATTTTTGAGACCTCTATAGATGTCATTACATCATAATAATCTAACCTGCGTAATTTAGTTGTTTTTTTTTCTGTTTTGACAGGAAATGCAGCATATTGGTGATGTGTTGAAAGCTGATTTGGCTAAAAAAAAAAAGTAAATACATTCTTGCATGTATTGTGGTCTTTAGCTTCACTTTGTCAAGTAGACTGCTGACCTCTAACCTTTCTGATTTTGGAGTCCTTTTAAAAATAAATAAATAAATACTACCATTTCAAACTCAATATTGATATTTGAGAAAATATTCTATATATATATAAAAACAATTTCAAAAGCATGAAAAAGAATAATTAGGAAAAGCTCACCTTTTTTCAGTGTCACCATGAAACATACTTTCTCCACTAAAGCACAGATGTTAGAGAAATTAATTTCTAAAACAAATAACCCTAAAATCTAAAACTAACTATAACAAAAGATATGTAAACAACACTTGTCTTTAGTGTGAATACCATACGAGATTAGTATTGCGACTTATGACAACCCTACTTTCCATAGATTTCCATCTCCAATCCGCTGGTCATCAAACAAAGAAAACCTAGAAATAATTCAAAAAATATAAGTAACTAAAAAAATAGAGCACTACAACAATGTTTTTAGCAGAGAACATATAGTGATGTGTTCATAAAAAACACAAATATAGGAATATGTATGTATTTTTGTTGAAAAAACACTGTACTACAAGATCAAAATCAAAGATCTTTTTCCGAATTGTTGCAACTTTTTAAAACACTGAATAAGAAAGTCAATGCCACCTTTGTGCTGCTTTGATTTCTAACTCATCCCTGTTTGAATTTAGAAATACTCTAAAAGGTTGAAAAAGTCTTAGGAAAGTTTTTGATACCAATCCAGCATAATCATTCATGTTCGTTGACATGAAAAGGTCTAAAATCTTTTTGGCAGTGCACGCCTGACTTCACTGAAGGTGCACCTTTACTCAGCATCACTTCAACCGTTTTCAAGTGATGCATCCCTGACAGCTGAGAAACTGCATGCAGAAGTATACAGAATCATCCTGCTCTTCTTGGTTGCCAGTCACAGAGTATGAAGCTGTAACCATCAGTTGATAATTTCATACAGGATTCTTTACTGTGAGATGGAGCTGATAGCTGCATTTCTGTTTTTTAAGAGGTATCATTAAAAAAAATCCTCATCAGGAAAAAGGAAAAACATTCTGATGTATCACGCACGAAGAACACCCACACAGCATCCCCACAAATAGACAAAGATTATTCTCCATTTTCTTAATATCTCTCATTTCATCAAACATTCCGAATTTAATGGTAGAGAAGGTGATGGTGTCGGAGTAGAGAGTGGGTGAAGATCTGTTGCTATTCTGAGATGATCTAGATGGCAACTGGATTGTTCTAACAGTTATACTAGGATTTCTAAACTTGGATGAACTTTACAAAAACTCGACGAATAATAAAAAACAACTTTGAAGGCATAACTATGCTTTATATTGAATTGCATTTGTGGCAATTTGATAGCATAAGGAGCCTAAAATAAAAGCAGTTTATGCTCATTGAACCATGAGGATCATAAACACCCACTGCAAAGCTAATGAGAATTGTCCGGTGCAAGGTGAAAAAAATATATTTAAAAATCAAACAAAATCAGAGATTATGGAACCTGTGGCAGCACAACTTAAGGTAGTTAGATTTTAGTGTTTCAATTACTTTTGACCAGCTTTTAAATCTGATGGACTGCTGTAGGTTTAGGATCAGATATCTGTATCCTCCTCTACTTCATTCTTCGGTCAACATCAATTTCTTTGTATGAGAAAAAACTAACGCTGCACTTAGTTGCATTTGGACACAACCCAGAGAATATTTGCATATTAAACATACCTGGTAAGAGTGGGATGAAAAATACACTAATTGTGGGGCTTGTGTTCTCCCATAGAATTCATAATAATTGTCCGTTTAGGTTTTATGCAGAAAAAATACATGTGAATTTGGGATCATGCAGGCCCTGGATGTGTGAATAGCTTGAAGTAAATGTTTCAATTAATCAATAAAATCAGCTAAGTCACTTCGTAACTCAAACTGTTTTTTTTTTTTTGTCTAGCTCTAGCATAAATGAGTATGTGCTGTATAACTATCTCCCTTTCATCCAAATCCTTATATGCTGTGTCAACAAGTTCACTGAATAATATCTTTAATATGGTGAAACAAGTAAAAAATAAATGAATATATGCAAAACTGTCCATTATTTTTCCCGTTAACAGGTTGTTATGGTAAAAAAGGGATGAGATATTACATTAATGTAGATGTACCATGTCATCCAAGTGACATTGTGACTGCTTGTTTTTCTGCTGCTGATAATTGCTGTTCTGTTGACCCTGATTTTATACAGGACTGTACTCAGTAAAACAGTAGGAGCTCAGCCTTGGCATGTGTATAGTGTTCAGGGCTCACCAACACACCCACACACATAATTACCTGTCTTTTTCAGTAATTTCTAAAGCTTGGGACTGCTGTTGTGAGGTACAGCTTTGGTTTGGACTTTCTCTACCTAGACTTGTTCAAGTAAGAGTTTTGTCAAAGTTTTGGTCAGCTATGACCATAGAGAGATAGATATTTTCTTCCAAAAAAAAATGAAGGAACCTTAGCTTAATCTAACAATAAAGAAAAAAAATTGCTAATGTATATAAAATGCAAGAAGCCTTACTTCAGTTTGAAGGCAAACAAAAGACTGTTGCATTCTCAGCAATTCACAATTCAGCAAATTGAAACAGACTAACACTTCCAACCCTTCACCCCTTTTCTAAACAAAAACAAGGCTTTATTGGGTTACTGTATAAAACATCAAACTCAACACTATTTCTGAGATTCTGAATTGAAAAAGCTTCCTGTATGGGAAGCAAAACGTCTTCAAACTTGGAAACAAAGTCCAGTGGATTATCTTTTAACTTTTTTTTTAATGACTATGATCTGGATGAGTGACAACCTCCACCAGCATATCTAAAGAGAGCAGAAATTATAATTTTTTTTGTTCTGTAAAAATTATGTTCACAGCAAAGCTCAACATTGATCTCACTAACTGTAGCCTTTATGAATGTCTTGGTTAGTGCAGTCAAACGGAATCATGTACATAAATCCAAAATCTGTAAAGTGATCAACTAAGTTAACACCTTTATAAATAAAGTAATAGCTCCTCTTAAACTAATGCCATAACCTTTTTCCTTTTCTCCTTATCAATTCACACCTTTGACAAGGTTAGGAACATTATTAACTAGTGTTGCACATATACCGCTACCAGTATCAGGCGGGGCCCCGATCCAGCACTAAAATGGTGGTATCTGTATCATCCAAGTACCAAATAATAGGGCACTGATACCATTTTGAGAGCCAAAAGTTTATTCAACTATTGTCACCCATTCCAGGTAGGCAATAAAAGTTCTACTGGATTCACTTTGTATTAGTCTTTTTCCTGCTATACAAAGGTAGGCAGCAGCTTGAGAAAGCCATGATGGCAATTATTTAACATCCAAGTAGTATGCAGTTCTTCGTATATACACTCAGACATCAATTTCAAACAGATGGTATCGGTATGGTATCGGTATCCTCCAATACTGCAGACAAGTATCGGTATCAGGGCCAAAAAATGGCATCGGCGCAACACTACTGTTAACCAAAAAAACCTTCCTATGGTTTTGGTTTCTACAGTATGGAGTTGTGCGTTCCTCTGTCCTAGCTAAAGGCCTTATTACGGGGGGAGGGCCCTGTACACCCAGCCTGTGAAATCATTTGTAGAGATATATGTGGTTACAGCCAGAGTGCTGACAGGAACCCCTGGCAGAGTAGCTCCATAAAAAGATACAAGAAATTGGGATAAATTGAGTGCAACTGACTCAGTGCATTAGTGATTCAGATTTAGTATTTCACAGAAAGCCAGGAGGGTCAATCCTTCAAAAATCCCTGACAACCAAGCCATACAGGTGCAAATGTCATGGATAAACTGTCACTGCAGGCTGTTCTAAGCAGGAAGAAAGTTCTTACCTGGATTGTCAAAAATGAATAGAGAAACCATTTAATCTGCCATTTTTCATTTCAATTGTTCACTGCATCTCTGGATATTATTTGGTCAAAAACGTCTAAAATTCAAACTCAAACAGGTAGAATAAAGGATTGTTAAAGTCCGAGTATATCTTTATGCATTGAACAAAATATGTCTGACATTTATTTTTCTTTTCTTTCCATTCAAGTGAAGATCTTTTCTATAAAGAAGACTTCTTGGCTTATGCTTCCTTCAGGAAGGGGTTTATACAAAGCCATGATCTGGATTTGGGATTAACCCACTCTATAATACATGTTTGTGCCTCTTACCATAGTCTCTCGGCCTATGGGAGCGGAGAAGACGTACTCTAGCTGAAAAACGATTGCCAAAGCCTGATTATTGGCCAGTGTTATCTCCAAGCTGCTGCGAAGGCCCAGCATCTGAGGACGCGGCGATGTTGCTGAGCTAAAGAGAAAGCAAAGAGAAATCAATGTGTAATATAGGCGTGAAAAATGTGAAGGCGGTAATAAAAACATTACAATGCTTTTCCAAAATGTGAAAGGCTTTAATATATCTCCTCCTGTATCTGTATTTTCTATTAAAAGTGAAACAAAATCAATGCACTGGGAGATTTACAATCCCTTACTAAATATTTCCTGGCAAGCATTAGCCTCCTGTGTGAGAAATGAAACAGCTTTCTACGTATTCGTCATTCACAGTTTGCATACACCAGAGGCGGGAGCATACTGTGTAGTATTCGCGTGTCACGAGGTGGGGCCGAGTGTCTTTTTCTTCCTTCCTTGCACAGAGTCTCTTGAGTCAATTTTCCCCTTTTCTTTCTCTAGTTTCTAAAATCATCCAGCATAACACAAGCTAGACAGACTGTCAGCTATCACTGACAGCACCAGTGAGAGTCAAACACCATAATTACTGCCTACAGTGTAATGGTATATCAAACCATATTTCCAATAGACTTTTCCCTCCTCAGCAAAAGGAAAAAAGTGCAAAGCATGTGTTATTATGGCGATGGTGTTAATGATTATTGTGGTCATATAACATGGGTAATCAGGCTCAGATTGTGGGTAAGCGTCTTGATGTGTTTGCTGTACAGTTGCGTGCTTGTGTGTACTTCCATGTCATGGCAGAAGACCCATGTAATTACACATAATCACGATTTCTCCCAGGGTCTCATTTGAAAAATACATTTTTATTTGGACGCCCATTTCCAGAATTTCTGTGCCATGTTTTGAGTTTCACAGCCAATTTTGCCGTTCCAGCTTTCTTCACCTTTTTTAAATGGATTTATTTCATCCTTCACACAAATGCTTTGTGCATTACTATTTCATAAAACCACATAAAATATTTCAGCCAATTACCCTGACAGCCGCGGCTTAAATAAGAGTGCTCACACTGACAGCAACGTGTGGAAAAATGTCAGAACACACACTCGGTGCATGCAGTGGTTTCTAGTAAGGTTGTCCAGTGACAGCGTGTGGGCGAACAGTATTATGGTTTCAAGCAATTAGGTATTTTGGAGACAGTGCTGTCAGACAAGCACATTTCCTAATGCCATTCACAGCGGGGATCATTAAGAAAGGACAAACCGAGAGCAATGAAAGACAACAAAATTGGGACATTACATTAAAAACTGGAAACTTTGTTTGTAACAGTAGGTAGAACATCAGATGACCTTAAGTTCTGCTTTGAAACAGAGCTTCTACCAAAACTTTTTTAATGTAAGTTATTTCAAAAAAAGGCTTTTTCAGAAAAATAAATGTGCACTGCAAAAAATATCTAGAAATAAGTAAAAATGCCTTAAAAGAACCCTTAATTTCTATAAAATGATCTACCAGTTGAATGAGTATTTTTAACCTTAAAATAAATAATTAGATATTGTTCACATGAAATAGAAAAAAAAGAAATGTTTTGTTTTTTTATGTAAATTGTCTCATTCCATTGGCAAATTTACTCACTTACCTGCTTAATTCAAGAAAGAATTTCTTTTAAAATAAAGCATCAAAAAATAATTTCAATCAACATCGGTCCTGCTGTTTAATGGCCCAATGATGCACCAACACAACTCATTAATTGAAACTGCAGGCTGCTGATCAGGTTTGTGCCGTCACCATAGCTGCAACAGTGGCTTCCCGGGGACAGCTGCTGTACTCTGAACGGAGTGAGATGAAATGCAAAACATATCAGCAGAGATGGGCCGACTTCACATGTGCATTGACACATACATGAATGTGTGAACTCATGACCCCATATGATTTTTTCATGTTTAATTTCACGTGCAGAAATCAGAGTAGTCAGTGTTTGCTAAATGAGGAGGTCACTAAGCAGATTAACTGTTGTGTTTAAATGGTAGGTGAGTTATGGGAAACATGGTGAAATATGTTCTGTTGTACGTCAAAATGCTTTTGGAAAACTCTAATGCTGCAATGTGGGAAACACATGTAAATTCCCCCCCTATGAAAATCTACTATATAACATTGGTCCTATGTGAATTCTCATGTAGATTTACTGAACTTGTTTGACATTTTGGGGAGATCTTGTCGATATCATAAAATATTCCTAACATGCTATTTACACTCGGACTATTTTTATTTCTTTTTACGTTTGTAAAGAAAGTTATAAATCTAACCCCCCAAAAAAGAAAATAAAAAGTATTAAAAAAATTAAACCTTAAACAGTTATTAGACTTTAAATGCCATTTTTGTTCTCCTGACAGAGGTCCGATTTGCTTTCATCACGCAGATTGATGAGCGTCCAACACATCATCTCGCTTAAAAAAGCTTGGAAAAGGTTGACATTGACCTTTTAGCCGTCTCAATAAGACTCAAAGGTCACAACTTTTTTTTTTTTTACTGTTATGCAATTATCAGAAAACATTGGTGCTTCTAATATAGTTGTTTGATGTAGGTGAAAACCTGGATGATACAGACTGGCATACTTTATTAAAAAAAGGGGAAAAAATCAATCAACTATAAAGCTGTAAGATTTTTTTTCCAGTAGCATGAGGTTTCTTATTTGAACAGTTTTAATGCTGAATTAATCATATTACACATAAATAATAAAGTAAGGCTCAGTTTTAATATGGCATTGCTCTTCTTTGTGCAAAGTTATGCTGTGGCACAAAAAAAAAAAAATACTACCATTTAATAATGAATTAAAATGCAAAGTAAATAGCTAAAAATGTGTGGACACAAGGAATTATTGCACATGAATTACATAAATATTCTCCTGTTTTTCCCTTTAATATGGCAAATTTGGTCAGGCATTTACCTGAATAAAAAAAATATATATATATAGCATGGGAGTTCACTACTAACTGCGGTGTTATTTACCAGTGGAAATAAACCACATATCTTAAATTACGCCTTTGACACAGATGATATAGCTGCTGTGTGGAGGAGCAGCAGGTAATGAGCAACCCTGGCTGGAGGAAAGAGTGTGTAAACAGAGGGATTCTTCATTTATGCAAATTTTATTTGGAATGCAAGGAGAAAACATTACAAGAATTTGCCAAGCCTCTTATCTGAGCTGAGCCACGCAGTTTGTTTGCAGACCTCTAAAAGATTTCTTACATTTCTGCAGTTAGTCTTGTTTCATTTCAATGGATTTAGGGAAACTTCTGCTGATTGGATTTCACAACTCGTTTTCTTTGGGGGAAGAAAATGGTGTTCATTAGCTGAAGTCAGAAATTTTAAAACTAATGCATTCCTGCATCGCAGCGACGGAACAGCACGCTTTTATTGGCTGTCAAACTCTACAATAATAGCTGTTAAGGTGATCCCTGGGTTTGACAGTAGGCAGCACTAAAAGCTGCCGTTTGAACAAATCCTTACAGTTTCCACTATCGCAACAACATAGTTCAATTTAGGAACATTAAAAACATCAACAAGATAAATCTGGTTAAACAGAGGCAATGTTTTAAGAGATTAATGGGAATATAAGACGCTTCTGACTTAATAAGCAGCATTGTGTTCGTTTGAACAATCTAGAAATAAAATGTGTGCTCAGCTCCTGATCGCAAACACAACTACTTGTTAGTGATGTAACTTCATGCTCACATCTGGTTTTGCTACTCTAATTCACTGATCCACTCAATGTATTCATCTCATTAATAGTATCATCTATTCCATTGTAAAAGTCTTCTTTCTCTTTCATAGAATTTGAAACTTCAGTGTATTTTCCTGCCATCCTAGACGATAAATCAATATGAAGCAGCAGCTAATTAGAGGTGGAGAAAATATTAAACATGGTTTTCAAAATGTTTTTCATAAAAAATACCTGAAACGTGCCACATTCATTCGTCTTCCATCCCCTTAAATGAAACTAGTGACTACATTTCAGTGCAACCAACTGTTCTCAGATGACACCTGCTTAATAATGAGAATCCACATGTTAAATGTATTCCTGCTATAAATCTAGCTTCTCTGTGAAGGACTCAGAGGGAGAAAGTTGTGGAGAAGTTTAATGCAGGTTTCTAGAACTATAACCCAAGCTTTGAACATCTCTCTGAACTTTTATTGTATATTCTACATCCGTCTCACTGAAAGCCTTAATCATAGAAGGAGGGGAATGGGTGAGAAGACCCAATGGGTAATTATCCATCCATCCATCAATTTTCCGTCACGCTTAATGGGGTCGCGATGGGTGCTGGTGCGTATCTCCTGCTGTCTATGGGCGAGGTACACCCTAGACAGGTCGCCAGTCCATCGCAGGGAAACACAGAGACAAAAAGGACAAACAACCATTCACACACACAGTAACACCTAAGCACAATTTTAGAGAAGCCAATTAACCTAACAGTCATATTTCACGCACGAACGCTCAGGGATAACTTGCAAACTCAATGCAGAAAGACTCCAGGCCGGGAATCAAACCCTGAACCTTCTTGCTGCAAGGCAGCAGTGCTACCCACTGCGCCACTTAACAGCCCTGAATGGGTTGAATCCTGCAATTCAACAAAATAGAATATTTAAAGGTGAAAAGAAGAAATACACACGCAGTTCCATTAACAGCTGAATATACTTAAGAAGCTGCTTCAGTCAATTGACACCAGAAAATGCACTTTTGGTGCAAAGTTCATAAATATTTACACAACATTTTGAAACAGTGATCCATGCATTTGTGACCACACGGCTGGATTACTGCAACTCACTTTATACAGGGGTCAGTGACTTGTATATTTCCCAACTACACGAAAATTCACATTTCCCCTGTTTTAGCTTCCTTACACTGGCTGCCAGTACATTTTAGGATTGATTTAAAAAAAAAAGTGTATTTGTTTTTAAAAATCATAATGGCCTTGCCCCTCCTTATCTGTCTGAGGTGTTACATTCTTATACACCCTCCCGTTCCCTCAGGTCAGCTGAGCAGTTGCTTCTGAGGGTCCCAAAGACAAAATGCAAGCTCAGAGGGGACCGTGCTTTTTCTGTGGCAGCTCCTAAGCTATGGAACAATCTGCCTTTGAGCATAAGACAGGCCTCCGCTCTTGCTATTTTTAAGTCCCTTCTTAAGACTCATCATTTTTCCTTGGCTTTTGGCACAATTTGAGAGGTTTTACTTTGTTTTATTCTGTTTGTATACAAATATGTATTTTATACTCGATCTTTTCATTTTATAATTGCATTGTATTTTATGATTGTGTAAAGCACTTTGGTCCTGTCCGATGCATAAAGTACTTCATAAATAAAGTTGGTATGGTATGGTATAGTAGTGGCAGTATAAGACATATAAGTAGGTTCACATAGCAGGACAACAATCCACCCATAAACATAGAACCAGAAATACCATAGCATCGGGAAAACTAACATTCACCTGACTTAAGCAGTGAGGGAGTGGGTAAAATATCAGCCTCCCCAAGATAGACCCTGCTGGACTGAACTAATCCAGAAAAGTAACCTTCTTTCTCTAACGTCCATTCTCCCTGTCCTCCTGTTGATGTGCGTTTTCGGTTCCAATGTTTCAAAATCTACTTAAATGTGTGTTTCTGACAGACTCTGATTCCTTCTGCTTATCTGGTCATAGAGATGACATTCCTACATTGAACATCACAGGACCTTATTTCACTACATCTTTTTTTTTTTCCATTTTAGTTCAACTAACATACAGAGTAACATATCTTTATGATTAGATTATAAGATTACAGTCTATAAAATGTCTTACTAACATTAGCCCAACGAATAACAACTGTTGGAAATACTAAAAAAAGAAAAGAAAATTCCAGACTCTCTTCATCCAATCTGAAATATGGGAAAGATTTTAGCTCAGTAGATTTGCAAAGCTAAACTAAAAGTCTCAGCTATAATGGCTTTAAAAGAGTGAAAATCCTGTACAATATTTCTTTCATTAAAAACTGCACCCTACATTGTGATAGTTTAATACTTAAAAGGGTCTAATTTCCCTATGCATAATCCCAACAATAAAATAGCTTTTAGTCCAAAAGGAATATATTTCCAAAAACATACCTTACCAGTCCATCCTCATATAGAAGGAATTTATTTAAAAAACATGTACTATTAAATATAAGTTTTTTGTTTTGCCAGAGCAAAAAGAGACACCAGAAATAACATTAAATAGCATAATACCAGTATTATAAATAAATGACATTAATGCCTAGCAGGCTTTTTTTTTTAACACGTTTTTGCTGACTTCCCTGGATGAATTTTCAATCCCTTCCTGATCTGCAAAAACAGTCATGCACAGAGAAGCTGATGAAATACCAGAAAAATAAGTGCTCAGAAAAAAAATATTTCTTTTACACACCTGCACATCTTGTCTGACATTAGATTTCTGCTTTAACAGCTGCAGCAGCCTGTAGTTACAGCTCTGCTGTAGACACAGACACGTGTAACGTCTGCTCACCTGTCCTTGACCAGCAGGCTCTTCTTAGAGGCGCTGTCTGTTCGTCCTCTGACCCCTGAAGCAACGGGCTCCAGGACCACCACTTGGGGCTTATCAAGGAAACACCAGCCGTTGTGCACTCCGACGTGAAGCCTCCGTTCCTGGATGACAACCGTCTTTTGCACATCCTCTGGATCGGGTTGTTTCTTAGAAAAAGAGAAGATCAGCATGAGGATTGTGCAGTTTGCAAGAGTGTATTTTGAAATTCTGGTGTAGTTTCAGTGATCTGCTTGTCAGTTTGAACAAGGCTACTATATAGTAGAAGTTACACTGATACATCGGAAGGCCGATATATAACCACTTTCTTCCTTCCGGCATCAGGCAATATGTGCGTGCGTAACAAATACATTAGTATGTTCAGGAGCCGATTGCCTCCATTTGCTATCTAACAATGTTTTGTTGATTTTCTTTGAAGATATGCATCTTTTTTTGTTTAAATTGAGACTTACCTAAAATTTAATATAGTTAGATTTTGATCCTGTAACTGGTGGAAAACAAGCAATATCAGCTTCAAGAATCAAACCCTGTTGCTTAAGCTGTCAATAGTCACTGTTGTTTATTGGAGGATTGCTTGTTCATACTTAACGAGGTGCTTCGGTCAATTCACACCAGAAAATTAACTTTTGGTGCAAAGCTCATACGTAGTAGTGGCAGCATAAGACATAGAAGGAGGTGCACATCTTAGGAGGACAACAATCCACCCATAAAGATAGAGCCAAAAATACCATAGGATGGGAAAACTTACATTCACCTGGCTTAAGAAGTGAAAGGACTGGGTAAAATATCAGCTCTAAAGATATGCATCCTAACATTTATTATAGTTGCATTTTGATCTTGTAACTAGAGGAAAAACGAGCAATATCACCTTCAAGAATCAAACCCTGCTGCTTAAGCTGTGACTAGTCCCTGTTGCCACCCTCTGGTGTATTGAGGGATTGCTTGTTCCACCAGTTAATCTTTAAGAAATTACTGCATTAGTATGAAATGGATCATCAGCTAAATTGAATGGGTGAATGGGTTGTTCTTTGGCATGAGCCACACCTCTGGTAAAAATTTCATTAAAATCCTTTTCAAGTAATCCTACAATTAGACAAGCAAACAGGATCAAAAACATAACCTCATTGATGGAGGTAATTAGCGCATCCTGCAGGCCACCTACATGGCTCCTAACAGTTACATCTCAGACAAATACAGACCAATCCTTCCATCCAGTCTTAATACTCATAGAGGAGGCAGATTGTAATTGCACTCTTAGATTTGGCATGACAAACACAATTAAATATCTAGAATCTACTTTATCTGTCGTCACCTTAATTCTCAGACACACAGCTGCACTCAAAAAGATTTTTTTTTTCATATATCTGAAGCTGGAAAGGAAAAAACTAAATTCTTAGTTTCATGGGGGCAATCCAAAGAAACTGGTAACAGCATGTCCCAATCATCTCCTCATGCTCCTGTCAGGTTATTGTGTTCTCTACTCGATTGACTGTCAGAGGCCTGGCACGACTTCTGCACTCCGTGACTTGCTACTACAGAGGAGCTAGCAATTTTTGAGTTCTCTCTTCTATGGACAAAAAAAAGTGTTTACTTAAGCTTCAATTAATAATTTCAGCTTGACAAGAAAAAGAAGTAAATCTTACAAAGATGCAAAGATTTGTTAGAAATGTTTCCCAGTCTTCTGTTGTATACCGTTCATTAAATGTTCAGGTAGAAAGAATGAATAGCAGGGTTAGATAATAGCTGATTTTATAACACTATTTAGGACTGAGCTTAATTGATCCGCTTAAGCGTCCCTATTGACCAGTGTTGGTACGTTTTCTTTTTACATCTCAGTAAAGATTCAATAAATAAAACCAGGCCAACATTAATGTATACCATAAGTGGGGTGGAAGTTGGCAGGATTGCAGGATGTTTCACTGAAGCAGTAGCTTTTTATTTTTATTTTCTATTTTTTTAAGGTGTTGAAAGGGTAGAGAAATGTATACAATATGAATATAGTATTGGATGTCGATATTGGCAAAAAAATCTAAATATGTACACTGCAAAAATTGAAATCTAATCATTGCCTAATCAAATCATATTAACATCTAACGTCTTTTTTTTTTAAATAAGTAGATTTTTTTATTGAATTGAGGAGGTAAGTGAGACACTTTCCCAATGAAACAAGACAATTTATGTTTAGAATAAGAAAAAACAATAGGATTGTCTTACTTCAAGTGTATATTATCTAATTATATTAGCAAATAATCTTATTTACCTGCTCAAATTAAGGCTATACTAGGCTTATTTCTAGATCATTGCAGTGTAGGCATTAGTAGATTGGATTATAGCACACTAAACTAAATTGAACTGGAATGATATAAAGTAAAAAACAGTTTAACTGGACTAAGGGGATTGTTTAAAACAACTTCAGCTTCACAGTTTAAGAAACAAAGAAATCTTTTTAAAACACAAACCTGAAGGACTGAAAACAACAGTCAGATTATAACAGGGACTAAAGGCATGTATTTTATTAGGAAATAATAAACTTTAACAGACAAATCGCAGCCCACACACTCTGTAGCCCTGATTTTTATTTTTTTGTATAGGGTTGCTTTTAGAGAGTGTTTAGAGTGACCAGGGGTTGTTTTGCACATCTATTTAGCAAATCCACAAGGTATTCATGGGGTCTCAGTCTGAACTTTCAGCAGATCAAAGAACAAACTGCTCTGTGGTTCTTGCATGATATTTCCAAGAAATCTAGGCCTACATCAAGACTTTATCGACTCATCTCAAATACATTAATAATAATGCATTTCACATATGTTAATTACCACATAAAAAAACATATTTCAAAGAAAATATACCTAAAATGTATTCCTGCCATATTTCTGTAAGATTGAAAACAAGGATCTGCCTGCTAACACCATGCTGATGCAGTATACAGAAAAGCCAATCTATGCGTTTATCCCAAACTCTTTTTTTTATTATTCTGGTTTAATCAAATTGTTTCCAACCCTCTTATTCATAGTCCAATATAGGAATCAAAATCAACTATAATTTCTAAAGTTCTAAACCCAGGACTTTATTGTCCCATTGATCACATAAGAATCAACAACACAAACAAGCGCACTATCCTGAAATAACTTTAAAGGAAATAAAAGCACAAAATAAAAAAAGCAAAGATAACAAATATTACCCCAAGATCATATGATGGCCAAAATGTTCATAAAAAAAAGACATTTGACTGGACAGTTACCCAGCAGTCAGTCCTATATACCCTCAGTAAGAGAATATGCACAAAGGATTTTTGATTAAAAGCAGAAAATACGTTTTGCTTTATTCTACTGCTTGTCTACACCTTAAATTCCCAGGATGTTTTACTTTTGTTGAGACATCCTGCTTAACAAGTATAATCAGTAACCAGATAGAAAGGAAAATTACTTTAGATAAAAAGGATTTTTTTTTCCAATAGCAAACCCCCACATTGATTTTTTCGTTCTAATAAACTGTTTAAATGAAAGTCTTTTAGTTCTGTCCACATGTCCCAGGCATTATTTTGACATTTTATAGATGTTTTCCTGGATGTCTTGTATTTCAGTATAACCTCCGTGGTCTTACTGCTGGATGAGGTTGTTCATGGAGCACCGCTCTGGCGGCTCCTGGACCTCTTCTTTGTAGTCGGGCTCCTTGTTGTTAGGTACGAAATTTCTGCAAACTTTAAAACCATGTTTGCTTTGTGCATAACGAGCAGTCCTGATAAAAAAACAGCTAAGAAGGCAAGGCTGAGAGCGCACGTTTTGAGCATAACTGAACGGCATGGTTGAAATTCCTTCTCCTAAAATTTACACTTTATAAATAACAAAATGACTTTGTTTTAGAAATTAATTCGTTTAAGGAATACTTTTTAACGAAATGTTATTTTTTTAGATCCATTGTCAGTTTTTAAGAAGGAAAGTTTGACATTAAAGTCAGTTTTTATTGCTAAAAGACAAACTACTATTGGAGCCCTGTCACTGTGTCGATGCCATCTGCTGATAATTCAAGTGTGCAGAGAATATGTAAATCACAAAGTGATTCTGAGAGGAGCCAATGTTTCAAGTAATTGTAGAGGGGTACTGCCTACATGTATTGCTTGCTGCTATTGCCTAGCTGAGTGACAGTTGTTCACCGACCGACTGTAAACTGTCTAACCCTGAAATGCTAAGCTGGTAAGCTCGCCTCTTATTCCCACTCCTTCCCATTTGTTTCATTTCAGTGTTCTTCTTCTCCCTATAATGTCTCCTACACCCACTTGCTTTTTCTCTTTCCTCTCCCTTTTCATTGTCATTCTCGCTCTCGGTCCCCCTAGCAGCTTAAAACCTTCTCCATATCCACCCACACCTTCTCAATCAAATTAGCATATCAATTCAGACAGGGGATTTCTTTTAAAGCAGCAACAGCAGGAGCAGCAGCCTAGCTTGCCTGGATACCAAACAACCCACATGCCTGACTACTTGCTGCTTTTCTCAGGTTTTATTTTATGCAATGCCTGACTTTATCCTCATCTCATCCTTTTTACATCTTACCCACCTTTTATATTTATATTTCCTCTAAAGCCAAGCTCAACAAATTCTCTACAATGTTTGATGTTTTACATTTGGTTATGGAAGATCAAAGCTATTGTCAATTCTTAAAGCCTCATAACTCTCCTGTTTCAAAATAAATTTATAAAAAAGTAATTGTGTGATATTTTGTTTTAGGAAATTAAATTTTGGTAGCATATTTATCAATACTGTCAAATATTCCCATTTTAGTGTCTGTTTAAGGTGCCTTTTGTAACTTTACTTGGCTAGTAAAGCAAGAGGCTGTTTCTTTATTAATTCAGCAGCATTCCTGATCCATTCTGATTTATTCTGCCTTTTTTTGTTTTTTTTTACTTCAGGGAAGATTATACAACTGTTTAGCCTTTTCTTAATCCTTAAAAATACCCCACATAAGAGTATCAGCAAGCACAGCTGTAGTGACCTGCTTAGATTGTGAGCAAAAAAAAAAAAAAAAACATTTTGTCAAAACAAACCATTAAAATTTCTCATTAAAATTAGATTTTACTCCAAAGCTGAGCATTTTGATTAAACAAACCTTATAAAAATGTTTTTCTCCTTTTATATTTGGCCTCATAAAACCT